TTGGTTGGTTGGTTGGTTGGTTGGTTGGTTGGTTGGTTGGTTGGTTGGTTGGTTGGTTGGTTGGTTGGTCGGTCGGACGTATACAGGGTGTCGCGCACGATCAAACTACCGGCTTCTTTACCCTTCGACGAGAGTTTCATCTGTTGTTCTCCATCTTTCGTACACTCGGATTCGACTCGATAATATAGACATGCCATGTGTCTACGAATGTTTTCACATATAGCTATTTTCTTCTATCAACAGTTATATGTGTTTAACCCTATCGATTCCGTCTATTCTATTTTTGGAATACATAGTTTTGTTGTAGTTTGTTCCAACAAATATATCTGGCTTAGAAATCCAAAATAAGAGCCAATTACGCCACGTAAATGTTTCGAAAATGAAGATGTCGGTGTACCGCCGTATCTTTAATAACACCGTTGCGTTCACAAGGTAGTTTGCTCTCTCTTGTTTCTCTGCGCAGATGACACTCACTCGTCGATATTCTTTGTCGACGTTACGTCATCGAGAGACGCGGATACTAAATGTCTGAATAAATGCAAGCGCGATCGATATAGGCGGATCGTTGTAAATATTACATTATGCGCGGACGAGCACGTTTCTACATCATGTACATAATATATTCCTCTACAGGATATGTTCTATAAAGAAATAGAATTTTGAAGAAGCTTTATATTCTTCAAATGACAAATCGAGAAATCATTTTATCACGTCAAAAAAAATTTTCATCGGCATCGAAAAATTTCAATCGTGATTTGCTAAGACTGTGATTTGCTGCTATAGCTATAAAAAGAATTTGCCATTCCGGTGCTATTACATCGTTTTCTTGGTCAAATATATATTTGTCTCCGCGCTATAATCATATTAAGTATAAACTCAACTTTTGCTATTTCAGCTAACAGATATTATCTAATGTAAAAACATAATTAATTCGATACTCTAATAAATGGCATTTCTTCGTAATTAATTCATAATTGAAAAATGTTTTGATTGAGTATATATGTATACATATACATATATTGATTATGTTTGAGTATAGATGTATTCTTGAAATCCTTTGTATGTGTTCTTTTCAAAGAATGTTTAACAAAACTCACAAGAATGAAAATATTCGTTGTCTTATTTTATAGAACTGACCTATAGTGAATGACATTGCATATCGTAACAACGCCTGCTGCCATAATCACTCAAAGTGTTTACCGTAAAGCTAAATTGTTGTTCCTTATCTATAACGCCTACAATTAATTAAACTTGACAATTGATTAAACTACGCTCTCAAGTTTTAGATATCCATGTGTTATATTAAAATTTAGCTATTCCATATGGATATTCTTTCTTTCTATTCTAGTCAATTTTTTTGCATAATTCTATGCGTTAAATTAACCCCAATTAACCTCATCTTCAGAAAATCACTAGAATCATATAATCATAACGAAGCGACACAGATTTCTCATGTTATTCAGCCCATTTGTTCGGGACACTCTGTATATCATGATGTCGTAATTTGCCGAAAATAGAATCGACATGTATACAAATGAGTCGTCTCCGAGTGAAAAGAACTAGAATCACGATATGTGATCGAATCGATCCTTCGCACGATATTGAACAGTTACAGAAATAATCACGGCTAGACATGCTTAAATTTTACGGTGTGTTCACATACTCGTTATTGAATAACGTAAAATATCGTTATTAATGCAAGTATATATATTAATGTGCACGTGTCGGTGCACATATAGATGGCCGACACGAGCTAAAACACGCCGATATTGCTCTGGTGTTGCGTAAACAATTCTTTTATTCAAACAAATTTTGCCCCGGACATTTCGATCGTTCATTTTGGTCATCATCAGGCAGTACAATTACTCTTTCACATTCAATTATTCCGATGTTTGAACAAAAGAATTGTTTACGTATCGACACAACGACATTCTGGCCCATGTTACCTCATACTTACACACAGGCAACAAATTCGCCATTTTATTATATCGTTTCATTATTCTTCTTTTTTAGAGAAATTGCCAGTATAGTATCGTCTATAGACGCGGGATATCCATCAGATTATTTTGTTATAGTTATTTAGGTAACGAACACCCATGAAAATTACAATTTGCATTCGCGCTCAGATCTGCCGCTATGCCGGATAAAGGAAGAGAAAAAAAAAGAAACAACCAAACAACGTCGCGGAACGGCGTAACGCCAGTGCAGGTTCGATAAAATCTCGGACGAACGTCTCCTTTTATTACGCGTGCGACTCGTTTCAGGTATCCATAATGAACACCTGCTGGACCTGACTCCAGCGTTTATTGGCTCTATGCCAGTGACATAATAATCATCGGATTTTATCGGAGGATCGAGATAACTGCGGCGGCTCCCGCGGCCGGCACTCGATTTCTGCGTAGCCCTATTTAAGGGCCGTCGAAAGGTTCAGGTGACGAGGAACGAGAGCAAATCACGTCGCAGCGACGTGCGTGACAATTCGAACGTCGTCGCGATTTCGTCACGAGATAAAGGTCGACGGTGATACACATTGCCGGCCTCCAAACACGTGATAAAGCGATAAGTGGAAAATTTGCAGACAAAATCGCAAGTCGCCTCGCCAACTACCGCGGCAACTACTGCGATCACGTGCTTTACGAGCTAATTACTCGTTTCAGCGGTTCAAAGTCGATAAGAAGACGATAGTGTATCTATAGGCTGAGCGATAATCTGCTAGGCGAATATCGCCTTCGGCTTACGACTCGTCATTACCTAATGCCATTATTTCGTACAAAATCGAAACTCTCTTCTATGTCAACGTTCGCGATAGACGACGGTAAAGAAAGGAGAATAATCTTAGCACTGGATAAGCGAATAGAAGAGAAAGGACGCGCGTGTGTGTGTGCCATAAGACAGCTCACCCTCGCTCCGAGAAAGCGGGCCTCCAATAACTCCTGCTTCCTTGGGTCCAGGGTGGCCTGAAAGTGCTCCATCTTGACGCCAGCGCCTGGAACAACAAGTCACAGCGAATTACACTTGGTTCTTTCGCCTGTGGCGTCGATTGATAAAGAATGAAGAATTTGCGGATAAGGATCGAGAAGTATATTCACGATCTATAAGAGTCGATCGTGTATGTTACTCCGATCTACCGCTTCGAGATCTTCTCTGACTGAATTGAAACTGCGAAATCGCCGTGATATATTAGAATAAAAGAAATGAAAACGGCGAGACGAGCGTGAAAAGGAAACAGAGAAGGAGATTAAGCAAGGGTTAGCCGCGCGGAAAAAGAAACGCAAAGAGAAACGGACGACTATCGCGAAGGCTTCTGGCAGAAGCGATATATAAATAGTGGTGGCTTTATTATCTTCCTACAATCGTGCATCTTTGCAACTACGATTTTTTGTCCTCGTCCACGCGCGTGGAGTTTGGAACAAAATTCCTCGGCCGAAGGGAATTTTATGATCGCGATCGCGATCGCGATGCTTGTCTCTTCGAAAAGAAATTTCAAAACGCGGATTTCGAATCGCATCGCGGAGAGAGAACTCGCCTCTGTGCGAACTTGAGCGAAGGGAAAATGTGGGAAAAAAACGATAACGATGACATTTCACCCCCCAATCATTAAGTGTAAATCCACGCCGAGCGGCGCGTTTTTCTTCGTATTTGTAACTGGAATTTTTAACAAGTAGCGAACTTGTAGAAACTCACTGGTTGCCACGCGCGCGAGCGACGATATGAAAAAAAAGTCCCCTTTTGTGTGCTATAAGAACTTTAATTTTCATAGACTGAACTACTAGGAATCGTGCCTTCTCCCCTCTCGTGCCCCGCTGATCTGACCCCTTTGCATCCCGAATTCTCTCGAATTCGCCGTGGAAGTTGACTCCGGTTAGGAATATCGAGCGTTTACCTTCGGAACTACCGGCGGATATCACCATCCGTGACCGATGCCTCGACGGTGATATCCGCCGGTATCTGCAACATCCCCGAGCACGTAACTGCGACGCTGCCGAAGCCATCGATGATTACCGCGCGTGCAATAAACTGGACATGCCACGGCTCGTAAACGGCGAGTGCTATAATTAGCGTTTGCGAGGTCACGTTATGCTGGGCATTATCTATTTCGATCAAAGGGACTGGATTTAACTCGCGCTGATCCTCTTCACGAATAAACGCTCGGTCTATTGTGCGACCTGAAGACCGTCTTCGTAAAATTAGCCGAATCGGCGAAAATAATGGATAATTCGCGCGTTTCACTTTGAACAAAGCGCACGCTTACGCGTCGCCGCCTTCCCTTCGTCATTATCCGTGTCGCAGATAAGATTATCATCTAAGAAAGAAATCGTCCCGGGATTAGTTAACGCTTGCACACATCTCGAGAGACGCAAGTTTCGCAAGAAAAAAAAAAAAGTCGCCGACTCTAAATTATCGCGTGAATCCGCGGCCGAGCGGCGCGTTTTTTTTTTTCCGTATTTACAACTGGAATTTTTAATAAGTAGCAAACTTGTAGAAACTCACTGGTCGCCACGCGCGCGAGCGACAATATGAAAAAAAAAGTTCCCTTTTGCGTACCATAAGAACTTTAGTTTTCATAGACTGAACTACCAGGAATCGTGACTTCTCTCCCCTCTCTGCCCCCGCTATCAACGCGCGTGTATACGACTGAATGAGTCGCACTGCTCGCCGTTACTTTCGAGAATCACTGCAATCCGTTAAAGACATTATACACGTTCACGATGCGTGACCGGCCGTTGCGCGTTACCAAACGGCGCAACAACGTTGTTTTATTACGCCGATATTTAACGACCTTTCCGATCGGCCGATCGGGTATGGTAATATATTCGCCCGCGCTCGGGTTCGACTCGGGAAATTTGAGAAAGTGACGAGAGAAAATTGATTCTCGCGGTATGCGACAATTAAAGCCACTTGGACCGGGAGTGCAGCCGGAACGCATCTGGCTTGCTCAATAAATCCGAGCGAGTGAACGCGCGAAGCGTGCGCGCGCGCGCGCGAGTGCAGTAGCGCAGTCATTGAACTCGTCGTCGCCGGCCACAATTTTCATGTAAAACGGGGGCAAGGCTATTTTATTCGTAGTGTCTGGGATAGGCGAACGCGGACTTTGCCGTAAGAAGATAGACGCGGTTCGTCGCGAGGCGCAGGCTTAAATTGTGCAATTCAAATAATATCCTTTTACGACACAGCGCGTGTAACGTCGCGCGACGAATACTCGAGGAATACTTCGATTTCATCGCTTAAGAGAAAAAAAAAAAAAAAAAATTAGCGTCGACCTGACGTGCGTGCAACGAGATTTCCTCTAATTCACGCCGAGATTTTTGCATCGCCGTGCATCGACACGCACCGGACGGAGCGCGGCCCGGCGCGTGCATCCTCGACTTTGCAGCGCGACGCACGCGACTCAACATCGGGGAGAAGTGTCACGGCTGGCAACGGCTGGAATTTCATTCGTTCTACAAAAGGCGCGGAGAAAGCAAGGCGCTAGCAACAATGTGAGACGTTGCTCGGGCATATTTCGCGGGCGGTTCTACAAGGCGAGTTGCATTACGCGCGCGCGGCCATCGGCCGCCGCGCCGACCGCCATCCTCCGCATCCTTCGAAAAAGTGTGCCATCCGAATACCGGCAGACGGGGGTGATACGTCTCTCCTCTCCGTGAATCCGGATTGGATCCACTTGTTGTTGCTCGTTGAATAATGCTGCAAACGCGACGGAGGCACAACCTGTCTCCGCCGCCATCCCCAGTCGTGACTGGCGACGTTTATAGAAAGATGACTAATTAGACGTGATTTCGCAGGAATCTATTGTTCCGCGAGCCGCTGTCGCGTATACCTCGCGCCTGTACTCTCGCCGCGATAAAAACGAGAAACGCCGCCGTCGCGTTTCATCGCGATCAATGGACGCGCGAATGCAACTTTACGCAACGCAGCAGCGGTTCGCATACTGCGCGATAATCGTCGCATTCCTGCACAAAAAAGTATCTCCGTCTATAGAAAAGAGAATTAATATTTTTCTTTCCGATATCGAGTATTTTTTTTTTCTTTCACATCGAGATAGTCTTTACCCTCGCGCATTTTCCATTCGCGTTAAAACGAAAGGCCGGAAAGTTACCGCATTTGCGGGACTTGTAACCCCAGAGCAGGGATCTCACGCGTTTACAGGGAAAAAAAAAAAAAAAAAATTTACTCCCCCGTAGAATCTCGTTGCGAAGCGACAATTCGAATGGATTCACTGAATTTGTCGTGGATTCTTATCTCGGCAAACTCTCGCAACGATTGTTTAAAAGATAGCGCGCGATCAAACGGGGGTCAACTGAGACCTTCAATATTATATCTCAGTGAATGCTGGAAGATCGGCGTAACGAACAAGTATAATGAATAGTTTATGGAACTGAATTCCCGAACGTATAAAAGAGCGTATTGCTGAAAATAATAAAAAGACGCATTTTCGAAGATAACTCTTTCACAACGTACATACGCGAAAGCGGAGTACGCGTTATCGCCTTAAAATTTTCGCAACAACGAAAGATTTCGAAACTATTTTCCTATCGCCTACGGACGGTCGTCAAGGCTATTTACGTATCTCAAGCGTATATTTTTACGCGCAAGGTGGATAAAAAGATTATCGCCGACCGACGTACCACGTATACGCGTCACAACGCCGTACAAAATAAGTTTTTGTTACGGTTGTCGAAGTCGCACTAACATTCGCCGCGCCCGCATCACGTAATACATATACATATACGTAATTGAACGGCCAACCGACGTGTGTCCACGTCGGCTGATTTATCCTCGCGTTACTTATCTAATCTCGCGTATTATTAAGACCGAAATAACATCCGTATTTTCATACAACGGCCGTCTCGAAACTTTCCGAGGACGCCCGAATCGAGATTTTCACGTTTTTTCGATCATCTACGGGCAGGGATTCGGGGATCTCGTCGCCAGTCTCGCTCGACCGACTCTCTCGATCGTTCGGTCAAGCGGGTTGCCGAAAGGGTTGTTGAGAAAAAAAAGCAGTGAATTAAAAGAAGATTAAATTAATTAAAGAATTAAAAGAATATTGGAGAGGGGGAAAAACCCGCGGAGAGGGGAAAAAAGACACTTACCACCACCAGAGTTCCAGCAATTCTCAGTCATCCCTGTTTATCCATCTGCAGAGTTGGCACTACATTATAATTACACCGATCCAACTCGCTCGAATGTCTCGCGACACGTTGGTCTTTGACGGCGGCGGCGACGGCGGCGGCGTCGTTACGCGCGCCGAATACACTTTTCATGAGCCCTAGTGCCGCCCGACAAAACTCTCAGCTCCGCCGCATCGCTTTACACCAATGAGAGCACCTGTCTCATTATTGATCTCACACTACACTCTCTCGATCGCGACGTACCGGGTGGGCTGCACCGCGAAGACCATCCGTGAGGTTTTCGCGCACTCCCGATCGCCTCCCGGGACACGCCGCTGTCGACACTCGGCACACGCGACGAGATGATCTCTCCCCTGTAACAGTCCGATCACACGCGTCTACAGAACCGTCGGAACTGGTCGTTTTTTTTTTTTTTTTTTTCGAGCCGGATCGAGCGAGCGAGCGAGCGAGCGAGCGAGCGAACGAGCCGAACTCGCACGAGCTCGGGTCGACCGATTAGCAGATCGAATTATCGAATCTTAGGATTCGCTTCGGAGATTCGTTCGGCTCCGTGCAAATATAACGTGCGCGCATATAACGGTATTCCTTCTCGCGACATCGCGAGCGTCGCGAGCGTCGTCCTACGAGAGAAATTAAAGTCGATCGAAGCCGGATTAACCTTCGTTTTGACGAAGAGCAGATCGATCGCGATGAGAAAACTCTCGGGGATCGCGTCCCCGTCTAACGCCACGACGAGCGATACACGTCGTGCGCGACAAGGTGCAAATCGGATACGAAGGCGAATGAAAAGCTGAGAGAAAATAGCGATGATCAACGGCGAATCCACGCGCGCCACTTTTCGCGTGTTGGAGCATCCTTATCCACGCGCACGGGTCCGAATATACGCGCGAGAGATTTTCTCTTTGGGAGTAATTTCTCTGTGCGCTCGTCTGCCGTAATATCGGAAGGAAAGCCAAGACCGTGCGCGGCAGGGCGAGGGAGGAACGAGAGAGGAAGGCGGGGAGGGAGAGGAGAGGTGGGGGAGGAGGGGCAACCCGACGCCAGGACGTAAGAGGATAACACTACCAGGTGTAGCAATGCGCATAATGGCGGCATGATAAATCAGGAGCCCGTCCTGCAAATACGCGAGCGCGAAATTCGAGCCTTAAAAAAAAAAGAAAAAAAAAATAAGAAAAAAGAAAATAACGTAACGCATGGATTTTTCCGCTGGATCTACCTTGTAGTCGCGGCTTTTTTTTTTCTTTCTTTCTCACTCTCTCTCTCTCTTTCACGAGGCATGAGCGGGTAGTCGCTCCGTGTCGATTGGAACGTCTCTCGTTCCCAAGAGAACGAGAAAAATGTAGGAAAGAATGGCGGGCGCACGACTCCACGCGAATCCGAGCGAATCCTAAGGAGGTCCGGTGAAGCGCGATGAGGTTATGTGCCAAAGTAAACCAAGGGCGCCGGCATTTTCGAGGGCCGTTCGGACTTAAGCCCGAACCACGCGCGGGACGGATCGCCGACACGCGACGTCGCGTTTAATCGATTCGAACGAATCTCTATCGCGCGTCGAGATTGCGACGCGGGGGTTTTGCCTATAAAAATCGGATGAGGATCGCCGTTCGAAATCATAAAGATGGCGTTTGATCGCCGATAATTAGGCCGTTTTGCTCCACTACCTCGGAGTCGGAGCGGACGATCGTTCAACGTCGAGGAGAAATGTCACGCGCGATCGCATGATCGCGGAGTTCCCTTCCCGTGTGCCGACAGGGGATCGTGGCTTATTCCCGTGACCCCTGTCGCATCCTGACCCTTATTGGCCCCGATATCGGCGTCGACAAAATTACAGCGCAACAATACCGACCGTGTAAGCGCCGCTTTGGCCAAAGAGAAAGAGCAAATTGATCGAGATGACGGCGGACACGGCGCGCGACCGGCCGTTTAATCCCCGCCGGTCGAGCCGATTTTCGAATCTGAGCTGCCGATCCGTTCCGCGATTCAGACTCTCGTGGCGCGAGCGCGATTTAACGACCGCGATTGGCTCCGCCGTTGGTATCCTCGAACGGAGGCTCGAAATCGCTCTTGAAAAACGCCCAGTTCGCGTGGTAGATACGCGAAAGAACTAAACGTGATACGAGACCGGATGAAAAGAGGCAAGACGAGAAGATGAAGATGAAGATGAAGATGAAGATGAAGATGAAGATGAAGATGAAGATGAAGATGACGATGATGACGATGACGACGATGACGACGATGACGACGATGACGACGACGACGACGACAACGACAACGATAATGACAACGACGACAAGGCAATGGCTCGGATCGTCGAGGTCTGCCTTGCCTCCTGCCTGCTCGCCTGCCTCTCCCTCCTCCCTCCCGACCGCCCTCCCTCGTTCCTCGCGCGCCCGCGGAGAGACGTTGGTACGGTACACACGAGTAACGTACGTACGTTACCGTACCCAACCCTACCTACCGTAACTAAACCTAAACCTTACCTTTACGTAAACGTACGTAAGGAAGAGACGACGTATTCGTGACGGACGACGACGCGCGCGACTCTACTTCTTCTTCTTCTTTCTTGTCTCTTCGTGTGTGTGTGTGTGTGTGTGTGTGTGTGTGTGTGTGTGTGTGTGTGTGTGTGTGTGTGTGTGTGTGTGTGTGTAGATATATATGTATATATATTCCTTCTCTTCTCTCTTCCTTCGTTCCGTTCCGGCCACCGGTCTCTCGTGAAAACGACGCGATTACGAACAAAATGCGATAGGGGGAGATCGAGGGACCTCTCCGTATTCCTTTTCACTTCGCACCATTTCCGTTTCCTTCCCCCGCACGTATTTCTCTGTCTTCCGTTCTGACTTGTTCTAGCTCGTTCCACCGTCCCTTGGTCTCTCTTTCTCTCTAATGGGCGCAGCAAGCGCGCACTTCCTAATACGTCCCTATCTCTCTCCCTCGCGCCCGTACGTAGCCAAGATACGTTTCTGTCTCTCCTCGTCACACCAGCGAGCGAAGGCTGGTCGAAGCGGCGACACGCGCTCGTGAAATTTCGTGACTCCGCCGAGAGCAGCACGCGCCGTTCACCGCATCTCTTGTCGCATATGATAGACGCGATTAATTTCCTTCTCCCTCGCGCCCTCTTCCTATCACTCTCTCTCGCTCTCTTCTACTCCTTCACCTCTCTCTCTTTCTCTTTCTTGCTTTGTCAATCGGTCTCTCTTACGATCTCTCGCCTTCGCCGTCCTTCTCCCTCACGGCATAGCGCGCTTCGTTTATCGGAAGAAAGGAGGAAAAACTCATCTGGAAGATGGCCGCCGCCTGCCAGTCACCGATTTATCCCTCTCTCGCATGGCGCACTCTTTTGCGACGGGGGCCACCACCGCGAGCCACCCGGGGAGGCCGCGGCTCACACCGCGCGGTCACGATGCACCGGGTCGTTAACTGCGACACTGAGAGACGCGGGAGAGACAGGGGAAGGCGATCACACGATGTGCACGACGGACATAACGATAACAATACGACAACAACAACACAGCAATGATGACGACGATGACGACGACGACGACGACGACGACGACGACGACGACGATGACGATGATGACGACGACGACGACAGCGACAAGGAACGATGACACGAGCGAAATCTTAGATGCCGGTAACGCGCGCGCGTACAACCGCACTCGCGCTCGCTGACCCGACAGTATTCGTACTAAAAAGCTCACCTCGGTAGGAACCGTAACGCACTCTCCTCTCGGTACACAGAAGCGCAAACACGGAGGCACTACTCTCGCGACATACACAGGACACACACGGATACGCGCGGGCGAAGAGAGCGCGCGCGCGCGCACACACCACACACACACACACACACACACACACACACGA